TATACACACACACACACACACATATATATATATATATATATATATATATACAATTTTGGTCATTGGCTTAGGTCATTGGCTTCCCCGCCCATAATTTTTCATAACACCACTGCTGAGTAACTCTTTGTGGGATTTCTGAGTTGTCAGCAGGAGTATCTTTTAGAATTAGGGAGCAGATCAAAGTGAAGAGTGCTGACCAGTAAACATAAGAAACACATCCCGGTGTTGTGCTGAATTCTGCACCCCTGCCAGATTATTACCCCCTAGTATTGGTAGGTTTAGGAGTAGGTGTGGGGGAGGGGTTAGGATTAGGCAATCAGGTAGCGACTTCAGTAAGGGGAGTAGTAATCTGGCAGGGGTGCAGAATTCGGCACAACACTGGCAGCTTCCCATTCCCATCTCTACTTTACTATCATAGCATCTGACACTGACACTAGCGTCATCACTTGCGTCATCAAACAGAATTGCAGAAATAATTGTGTCTAAAAACCTCGACCTACATCAGCCATTGAATAAGCCATTTATCTTAAGTGTAACAATTGCAGCACATCTTCCCATCCACATTGAATGCATACAGTGATACATACAGCATAGCCAATTTGAATTTGCCATAATGCTAATAACATTAAGCTGAGCCCTGTGAAACTTTCAGAGCTTTAAATCACTTTCATAGAGGGAAGGGTGACAGATCCATGATCTAATAAGATTTTCCCAGAGAGCTTAATCACACGGAAAGACACTGTCTAGCCACTGGGTGCTTTCAGTACTTTTCACATGATCTGATTATTCAAACCACATTTGGAACCAAACTAACATATTAAGTGATTAGTCCAATATAGTCAAGGGTATTCATTTCTATTACACCAAAAAAGATTAAGTGAAGCCTGATAAAAATTGAAAAATAATCCCAAACCTGTAAGCAGTGACAGAATCTCACTTTCCCATTATGACATTTGCCCCTTTAAAGGGATAGATCACCAAAAAATGAAAATTCTGTCATCATTTACTCACTCTCAAGTGGTTCCAAACCTGTATGAGTTTCTTTCTTCTGCTGAACTCAAAAGATGATATTTTGTTGTGTTGGTAACCAAACAGTTAACGGTGGCCGTTAACTTACATAGTATGTCAAATATGGACTAACCCAAGTTTTGGGTTAAAAATTGTATGTAAAAATTTAACCCAACGGTTGGGTTAGTCCATATTTGACCCAAAGTTGGGTTGAAACAACCCAGCATTTTTTAGAGTGTACAAACTATCCATTTAAACTGATTTCCGGGCATTTTTTTTTTTTACCTTTATAGACCTTATGTGTCAGAGAAACAAATGCGCAGCCATCTTTAGATTTCTGACTTTGAACTTCAGTTTTTGTGGTAGCTCTGTAGTATCACTGTTGAAGAGTAATTAACTGAAGTGGATTTACTTTTTGTAGAGTTAATGGAACTTATCATGAGCATTGTAACGTTCAAAGCAGATGTCATAACAAATGTCAGTAGACCGGGACATTTTTAAACAGAGTGGTTCATAAATTCATACGAGCTTACCTTCACGCTGCTGGTGCAGATACAGTGCTGAAAGGGGGCAGAGCTACATAAGATCTATAGGGGCGACTTTTCTAAACTTTTTTAATGTATGCACCCCCTTTCATGTAAATTCTTAAATGTATTCAATAAATGCATTTAGAACAACACATTATAAAACTGACTAAAATGACATATGGAATTCAACATATGGTCAAACCTATTTTCTACTTTGTAGTTTTCTGAAGGCTCATAATTAGTGTTTCAAAAAAGTGTTTTTTTATAATAAAAAAAAAAGAACTGCCCACACAAAAACAAATATATATTGCTTACTTGCATAACACCAGATGTAAGATGCTAAATCCAGTTAATTAGATACTGTTGTAAGTTACAAATGAATTCAGAGATATGAGTTATGAATAATCCAAAGGTATTGACAACTCTAATTGAGTTACACAAATGTGTTATTAGAAAGGACAAAACAAAACTCATACGCAAAGGAGGAATAGGACTGCATATGTGAGAACAAAGAAAGGTTGAAAGACATCCTATGACAGGTGGAGAAATCTGAAATGTGACGACACTTTGACGGCACCCATTCACTGCAGAGGATCCATTGGTGAGCAAGTAATGTAATGCTAAATTTCTCCAAATCTGTTCCGATGAACAAACAAACTCATCTACATCTTTGATCTCTGAGCAATTTTTCATTTTTGAGTGAACTATTTCTATGCTGCACAAGAACCAGCTGAAGAAATAAATGTGAGATTTCAGATGAAAAACACAGCTTTAATTATGCATTTCCTCAGAGCATTTGTCTCATTCCTGCTGTGCACACAAACCATATGTGCTGAACCTCTCGGATATCTGAATCTCACAGCTTATTTGACATTTCCTAATGGATTTAAGTGTAACGAACACTTAAACCTTCATTCAGAGACATCAAAGAGAGCAGAACAGAATCATCTTGGTGTCATTTACTTCAAAATTGCTCCAGATTTGATAATGCAGCATAGTAAATTATTATTATTATAATTATTATTATTATTTTTACTTAAGGATGAAAGTCCCAGTTTGTTTCATTCTAATTTATTTAGATTAGGAAATTCTACTCTTGGAAAAACAACTGTGATATCTGAAGCTTGCTGATTTGATTTGATTTAATTTGTGCAGAAGAACAAACTACTTGTTTCTTTCAGTGTTTTCTGTTTCTGTAATCAAGTGTGTTTTGTGAGGTTTGCATGATTGCAATTTATGGCTGTTGTACAGTGACAATAATGCACAAGTAATCCACACGACTCCAGTCCATCAATTAATGTCTTGTGAAGAAAAAAGCTTTGTGTTTGTAATAAACACAGATGCTAGTTGCCTTCCTGAGACACCGTGTTCTGTATATGTCCTCCAGCACTGGGAGTTGAGTCCCGATGATCTTTGTGCGCTGGAGAAAGCACGCTGAAGCGCTCTCCTGTCCGCTGCAGTGCAGCTGAGATACCACACTGAGATACAGTTTTGATGCTTTCTATAGAGCAGCGGTAAAAGTTTGCCAGCAGTTCTTGTGCCAGTCCGGCTTTTTTCATTGTTCTCAGGAAATACTTGTGAAAAAAGCTTTGTGTTTGTAATAAACAAATCTATCATTAAAATGTTTCTAACTCTCATTCTGACGATCCCATTCATTGAAGAGAATCCATTGGTGAGCAAGTAATGCTAAATCTATCTATCTATACCTATCTTTATATATATATATATATTATTGTCATTAATCACCTACATATCAGAATATAATGATATAACAATTTCTTGAGCAGATATTCAACAAATAGGAAGAAAAAAAGGTATGAGATTATCATATAAATAACTTAAAGGCTTCAAGTCAAGTGAAGTCACCTTTTATTTGTATAGCGTTTTATACAATACTGGTTGTGTCAAAGCAGCTTTACAGAGTCAAACAGGAAAACATTTTGTCAATAGTACAAGAAGACAACAACAAAAAAAAAAGAGTAATTTTTTCTTGCTAAAGTCACATAAAATCCTTGTGCATTTTGCTTTACTATTTTTCAATCCAAGAAGTAAAACAAAAACAACAAACAAAAAAATTGGGCTTTTCTTTATGCTATGCAAGTCCTTATGCATATGGTATTTCCCCATAATCAGACAAAGATTAATAATAAAAGCCACATTTGGTGATAATCTTTGTCTATCAAAATAACAAAAAAAAACATCTTTTTCAGAAACAGAAACTTTCAAACCTAAAGATTTATAGAAAAGCCCTTCCAAGTCAATCCGAAACATTCTGCTATAAATGCAGTTAAAAAATAAATGGACAACGTTCTCTGTCTCCAATCCACAAAAGCCACATTTGGTATCTATATGTATATCAGTACAAAATCTTAAAAAAGTGCTTTAACAGGATACACCAGATGAAGTATTTTAAGTGTAGGCCTACTTCTCTCATCTTATTAGTTATACAAATATTTTTGGGCAACATATGCATATTTCCACTCAATGCACTGAAATCTTGAGTTCCTGAGATCAAAATTTGTGACAACTTGCCCTGGTCTCCCCTATACTCTTGAACTGATAATAAATGAATCTTTATTGCCAGTGTATGCACTATTGGTGCAGAACAACGAAATAGTGTTAGCATGCTCTTTAAGACACCTGATAACAAGTAGAGAACAGAACAATAAGTAATAAATAAATAGATCAAAGAAACATAAACATTATAAACAGCATAAACATTCTAAACCCTAAACAGTAGAACAGCAACAGTATAGTGCAGGGGTAGGCAAGTTCGGTCCTAGAGAGCCGCAGTCCTGCAGAGTTCAGCTCCAACCCTGAAAACAAAACTCACCTGCCTATAGCCTTAGTAATCCTGAAGACATTGATTAGCTTGTTCAGGTGTGTTTGATTAGGGTTGGAGCTGAACTCTGCAGGACTGCGGCTCTCTAGGACCGAACTTGCCTACCCCTGGTATAGTGTAATAAAGTGAGATTAGTACAGTACTTGAAATATTGCACATAGAAAAGTGTATGTAAATTGTAAACAATGTATACATAGTGAGCAGTATAAATGGTACTGTAGCAGCAATGTACTATTAAAAAATGGGAAGTGCAAAAGGCAATGCCTTCTAACAACAACAGTATTGCACGTATGTTCATGAATTGTCAGCAGTGTTCACTGTTATGTGTACTGGACTGTATGTAAACCGTATACGTTGGCAGATAGTGTGGATGTTCAGGTTTGATTGAGAGCGGCCACAGCTCTGGGGAAAAAAACTGTTAAATCTGGTTGTGCGAGCATAAATGGCTTTATGACGCCTGCCAGATGGCAGCAGTTCAAAGAGGTGATGACCAGGATGTGTGAAGTCCTTACAGATGCTAGTTGCCTTCCTGAGACACCGTGTTCTGTATATGTCCTCCAGCACTGGGAGTTGAGTCCCGATGATCTTTGTGCGCTGGAGAAAGCACGCTGAAGCGCTCTCCTGTCCGCTGCAGTGCAGCTGAGATACCACACTGAGATACAGTTTTGATGCTTTCTATAGAGCAGCGGTAAAAGTTTGCCAGCAGTTCTTGTGCCAGTCCGGCTTTTTTCATTGTTCTCAGGAAATACTTGTGCAGTGGTGTTAGTGGTCCAGGTAAGGTCCTCTGTGATCTGAACTCCTAGAAAATGGATGCTGGGAACTCTCTCCACCCTCTCTCCACTGATGAAGACCGGAGCATAATTCTGATTCTGGGATCTCCTGAAGTCAATGATGAGCTCCTTGGCCTTCCCACTATTCACAAACACCAGTTCTCTAGGTTCTGTATCTCCGCTCTATAGGCTCATTGTCCGTGATCAGCCCCACTAAAGTTGTGTCATCCACAAACTTTACTATGGTGTTAGTGTCAGATGCAGGAACACAGTCGTGGGTGAAGAGGGACTACAGGATGGGACTGAGCACACACCCCTGTGGTGTACCTGTGCTCAGAGTGATTGTGGACGATGTGTAGGGGCCCAATCTTTTGGAGTTTTCTGGTCAGTTTGCAGGGGATGACAGTGTTGAATAAATGTAGGCATCCTCTCATTCTCTCCCATTCTTTGTAATCAACATTATTCATTCATTTTAGTCACTCATTTATTATTTATATTGAGAATTTAAAGGGTTAGTTCACCGCAAAATGAAAATTATGCTGTGTTTTACTCACCCCCGAAGCATCCTAGGTGTATATGACTTTCTTCTTTCAGACGAATCCAGTCAGAGTTATATTAAAAATTGTCTTTGATCTTTCAATATAACTCCGACTGGATTCGTCTGAAAGAAGAAAGTCATATATACCTAGGATGCTTCGGGGGTGAGTGAAATGCAGCATAATTTTCATTTTGCGTGAACTAACCCTTTAAGAGTTGTGTCATGGATTTCAAGGTACAGTAATATGAGTATATCAAGTTGTAAAGAGACCAGGCTTATTTTAGCTGATCAGTACATAGGTTTAACTGTGAAAGATGCAGTTGTGCCAGAGGCAAGACAAAATCATGTTTGTCTGAGGATAGAGTAATCATTATTACTCCAAGGATGAAGAGTCTGATACTGGGTCTCTATTATCTTTGCACAACCACTATTGACATTCTCTTCTCAAAGACAAAGCATATCCTTCAAGACCTCCAGGTCACCAGAGCAGATAGCCTGCGGCACTCAAGTCTTTTCTACTTTTCTATGCTTCAGAGTCCAATTTTACTTTATAAAATCGTGTTGTAAAAGGCACAGTGAGACATGGAATATACATAGAAATCCCTCTACAGGTGCTTTCACACTGATGTCGCTTTTCATTTGGTTGCTTTGAGAAATGGTCTTTGCAACTGGAGACATTATTCTCCTCAATACATTCCACTCCAAACTGCAGGTGCTTGATAAACCCTTGATGCAGTTGGCAGAAGGAGCATTTATTTAGAAGCTAAGGTTTAGAAGCTAAGGTTAATGGTTAAAGTTGATGGATTATAATTTATACACACTTTACCCATAAGGCTTTGCTGAATGAAGGACCTCTGTTCCCTATAGACTCTTTGTTCTTTGCACAGTGAGATTTTGTTAATTTTAGAGGAGCAGATATAGGTATTTTTTCTTTTAGAGACAAATGCCTCTGTTTTCTGCTGCAGGGAGATCGTATAGATGCACTTGTAATGCTTTCAAACATAAGACTACAGATGGCTTGCATTACATGTAATCCACATATCCAGCAGACAACCTGGATGAAGGATTTGCAGTGCAGCACAGATCAAACCTAAAAATGCTAGTAAAATGTAACATTCAACAACTTAAAATAGTGTCTCTTTCATTTATTAATGTAAGCTGATACAGTATGTGGGTTTGGAACTGAAACCAACCTAAAACTTGCTTGCGACTTACTGGAAATTTCTCATGAGATTTTGCAGGATGTGGGTTTTACATTTAAGTTAGATTCTCAGTTAGTACTGTATAATACAGTAATAGATTTGAATTTATTTATTTATTATTTTTATTTAAATAAGCATAAAAATACTACCATGATTTACAAATGATAAATCTTTTTTTTAATGTAGTCAGTAATGAAAATTAGATTTTTATTACATTACAGTAAAGAGAATCAGTGAGGAAAAGCAAAAAAAATTCTAAAATATTTTCAAATTATTTATGATTAAAATTCCATTAGGTTATTCGTTTCTTTAAGCATAATATAAATAATTTTCTTTTATTTTTGGTGTGAAATATGTTCCTGACAGGTTATGTGACATTCACTCCATTAGATCTTGATTGATTCCCATGGGTTAGATTCCTGAACGCATGAAGTGATTAAAATATATATGTCTTAAATGCAATATAAGTTGTTCATATAAAGTGTCTGCCAAATGCATACAATAAATATAAGTCTCACAGCTATTATACACTGCTAAAAATGCAGTCTAAAGCTCCAGTTTGGTTATGAATGGACTATTGTCAATTGGCGAAGAAGCATCTCGACAGCTCTGTGTGAAACAGCACATCGCTGAAGGGCAAAACTAGAAGGTTATGGAGGAGGCCAGATGACAGGTTACTGAGATAAAAGTGATGCAGAGGTACAAAGAAAGGACAGCAGAGACTGTTTGAAGATGGGGTTAAGACTACTGGAAGAATTTGTCTTTGGGATTTGATCCCAACATTTGCTCCAAACAAAACATTATATAATACGATCTGCAGATTAAAAGGAGACTAATAATGCCAAAAACACGGGATATGGACTGAAAATGAATGAACCTGAAAATGAACAAGGAAAATGAACCTTGAATGCAATGCATGTCACTTTGGATAAAAGCATCTGCCAAATGCATGCAATGGACAATATACATTAATATAAACATTTAAAAATCTAAATAAAATAATGTAAAGATATTATACAGCATCAATTTTTAATAGAGGGATAGTGTCAGCCAGTCATTATCACAAAATCAAAACACAGTATCACATTTTAAATTCAATTTTAGTTTAATACATGGATTAAAGTCCTTTTTTTTATATGTGAGAATAATGAGATGATAAGACACAACTACAGCTACATTGGAAAATGCTTGCACAAAATATTTGAGCACACAATGCAGCAGCTGACTAATCAGAATCGAGAGAATTACAAATATAATTTAGTTATACAAAATGGGATGGGTAATAGCTACACATACATTATCATTCAAAAGTTCAGGGTCAGTAATAAGTGTTTTTGTTTTGTTTTTTTAAAGAAATTAATACCTTTACTCTGTAAAAAAAAGCTGGTCTTCTTAACTTTCTGAAAAAAATGTAATCAATAAAAAATAAACAAAGAAGAAAAAAAAATGTAAAATGCATCAGTTTCCATAAACATATTAAGCAGCACAACAGTTTTCAACATGAATAATAAGATGAAATGTTTCTTAAGCACCTAATTAGCATCTTAGAATGATTTCTGGAGGATCATGTGACACTGAAGATTGGAGTAATGATGCTGAAAAACAGTGTTACCATCACAGGAATACACACCTAATTCTTTGTATGTCTTCTTTTTATCTTTCACATGCAGCAATTCTTTCCATTGTGGGGAATTTGATGGTTCTTGTGATGGCATACAAGCGGTCGAACCACATGAAGCCCCCTGAGCTTCTGAGTGTGAATCTCGCTGTGACAGATATGGGAGCAGCTGTCACCATGTACCCGCTGGCTGTAGCCTCAGCGTGGAACCACCATTGGATAGGGGGAGACGTCACCTGTGTGTACTATGGCCTGATGGGATTTTTCTTTGGAGCAGCTAGCATTATGACCCTAACAATTATGGCTATTGTTCGCTTCATCGTGTCTTTAACGCTCCAGTCACCCAGTGAGTTCCTCTGGGCTCTATCTTTGGACCTATTTCTATTCTGACTTCTGCATGGATTTCTAATGAGTGGTACAACCTCAATGCTTCTGAGATAACGTGGAACTGCCTTTTCTTACCATATTAATAATATGTTTAGAATGACAATGATGTTTGTTTCAGAATAGTAGTAGTTAACATTTTTTAAATATGTTATGTAATCAGACTCAGTTTACAGATATTATTTAAGCCTTTTCCCTCTTTAAGTATTAAATTAATATTCCAGTAAAATTTAAGCTTAATCATAAGCATTTGAGATTATGTTGATTACAACAAAAAATGATTTCCAATTAAAATCTGTGTTTACAGTGGAAGTGAATGAAGCCAATCTGTAATTGTTAAAATTATGACAGTTTCAATAGTGTCGCCATGAGACGTAAACAATAGGTGTGTAAACATGATTTTATTTATTACTTTTCTGTGTAGTTATATACAATTTTACAATGCAACTCCATTAACTCTAAAACATTAAAACAACTGTAAATATTATTATTTAAACAGTGTTTCAGCTCAAATAACACATTTTTAAACAGAAAAATTAAGGCAAGTGCTTTTATAAAATTATAAACTTTCTATTTCTGCTTTTAAATCCTCCAAACATTGGCCCCATTCACTTCCGTGGGACGAGTTTAAATATTTTTTTGTGATACTCAACGTTATGCCACAAATGCTGAGTGAGCTTAACTTATACTGAACCTATAATATTAATTTGACCATACACTTTCTTTTCAAACTTGATGTGTCTAAGACCCCAAACAGAACACATTATATTAGTACAATATCTTGAGAGCAAAAAGAATGAAAGAGAACAGCTGTAAATTGTTGCAAAGAGCAACAGGGAGAGAAATTTAGTAGGTCTGTACAAACTATAAAAAAATAGTTAAGTCAGAAAACTATATTGCTTATATAAAAGGTAAGACTGACTTTTTAATCAATTTAATTTGTTTTAAACTTTTTCATATCTAAATAATGAATATTTATTTCAATGATGATAATTGTAGCAGCACTTATACACAGCTCTGGGGAAAAAAACTGTTAAATCTGGTTTGGACCCCAAACAGAACACATTATATTAGTACAATATCTTGAGAGCAAAAAGAATGAAAGAGAACAGCTGTAAATTGTTGCAAAGAGCAACAGGGAGAGAAATTTAGTAGGTCTGTACAAACTATAAAAAAATAGTTAAGTCAGAAAACTATATTGCTTATATAAAAGGTAAGACTGACTTTTTAATCAATTTAATTTGTTTTAAACTTTTTCATATCTAAATAATGAATATTTATTTCAATGATGATAATTGTAGCAGCACTTATAAACACAAATGTACTTCTCTTCTGCAGTTTCAACAATCCAGCAAAGAAAGCAAATGAGATCACTATTAAGACAGAGAGAGCATTCATCAGTAGTAATATCTCACATCTGACATCCTCCGAACAGGTTATGTAAACAGCCAATCACTTCTGATTTATTCCACTATAACATAGCAAAGCAAGGTTTCAGTATCCATGAATGGTTTGACAGTCGGAGTGACCTATATTCATCTCTGTAAGAGGTCATGTTCCCACTGAGAGCTTCTGGGGAGCTCTGTTACAGCAGATAGTTGTCATTTACACACAAACTCAACATGACAGTTCAGTAAAGCTAACTTAATAGAGTTTTTTTTGGGGCTGACTCATGCCGGGAGACAAACGCTGAATTAACTTAGGGAATAACTGCTCTGGAGAGAACCAAATGGATCTCTCGTTTATTCTTATTGCCAGACAAACACTGATAAAGAGCTGAAAGAGATACCAACCCAGAAAAACTCATTAAGTAGGCCCGTTAAGTTAAACAACAACCCAGAACCCTAGAAAACATATAGCAATGCCCTAGCAACAACCTGCCAACCACCTGGAATGCCCTAACAATCACCCAGAACACCCTAGAAACCACACAGCAATGCACTAACAACCAACCAGAAGACTTTAGCATCACAGTGGCTAATACTGCATGAGCAAGCACTACTCATGTTTTCATAAAATTAAACAATCTATTAGTCGTGTTTGTGTTCATTTAGTGCCAGATGTCAGATTTAGCTTGTTTGTGCATCTATAATCTGGAAAAGCACACAATCCCTGGTTTTCTGGGAAAAGACCACCTATATTGTGCTACAGAGGAAGTTTTAAGCTTTAACCAAGTTTTGCAATTATTCCATTACAAAGGTAAATGTCAGAGTATCTACAATAAAATTATCTAGAGTATCTATCAAAAAAATAAATAAAATAAAATAAAAAATGGGGAAATGCTGAATCATAGAAAACATTTTTTATAAGAGAATTCAATGTGGATCATCTGACCAAATGTAATCAAAAATCAAAAAATATATGCATCACAAAAATTATTGTTAAATTACTCACTCCCTTCTGGAAAAGCACACAATCCCTGGTTTTCTGGGAAAAGACCACCTATATTGTGCTACAGAGGAAGTTTTAAGCTTTAACCAAGTTTTGCAATTATTCCATTGCAAAGGTAAATGTCAGAGTATCTACAATAAAATTATCTAGAGTATCTATCAAAAAAATAAATAAAATAAAATAAAAAATGGGAAATGCTGAATCATAGAAAACATTTTTTATAAGAGAATTCAATGTGGATCATCTGACCAAATGTAATCAAAAATCAAAAAATATATGCATCACAAAAATTATTGTTAAATTACTCATGGCCTAACTTTTTATATACTTTGGTAAAACATACATTTGAATAAAATTTGAAATATTAATTTAATTATTTACATTGTTTAACACTGTAGCCTCAGCCAACCCAAATGGGTTCATTCGTTCCTTTCTTGGAGACAAACACAAAAATACAGCACTTCGTGAGCAAATTGCAAGTTCATCATGACAGCCACTAATGGCAGGCAATTTGAACTCAAAAATAATAAATTTTATCTCATACTCATAAATAAGAAAGAGGGAGAAAAATTGTCATATAAAACCAGATTATTTTTAATTATTCTTAAGCAAAGGCAATAAAATGCAAAAAAAAAAAAACACATGTAAAAACTGCTTTTGCACTTAAATCCCCTTTTCATACCTTTAACTGTTTCTGTCCACAGAAGAGAAAATCAGCAAAAGGAAAGCAAAGATCCTTGTGGCGACCACTTGGCTGTACGCGCTGCTCTGGGCCCTTTTTCCTTTGATTGGCTGGGGAAAATACGGTCCGGAGTCCTTTGGCCTGTCTTGTACTCTGGCCTGGAAGGACATGAAGGAACAGAGCCAGTCTTTTGTCATCACCATCTTCCTCATGAACCTCATCCTCCCAGCCATCATCATCATCTCGTGCTACCCTGCTATCGCTGTGAAACTATACATCACCTACAAGTTTATGGACGACAGCAACCACATACCCAACATGATAAAGATGCAGCGGCGACTCATGGTGGTGAGTCTGTTGTATGCTCCAGCTACACTGCTATTATGAAATAAGATCTCTACATTATGTGTTCATCTGAACGTGATATGAAACCCAAGAGCATCCGAAACTTTCTAGCTGACGCTTTTATCCTCAATAACTCACACAAGACGTATACAAAACAGCAATACAGATTATCAGAGTTATTTTAACTAGTTATGTTTAGGTCACAGTGGCCAGGCATCAATTTGACACTTCTTTAAATATTTCCTTACATATTAAAACATATATTTACATATTAAATAAAAAAGGCACAGACAGACAAGAATCCCTATTGAGCAACCTGGACTAAGGAATATAGTTCACTGAAAAATCTAAATTCTGTTATTTTTTTACTCACTCTCTTTACGTTCTAAACCTATATGACATTGTTTCTTCTGTTGAACTCAAAAGATGTTTTGCACAAGATGTTTTCCAGGGTTTAGTGCATTCAAACTTGCCGCCTCAAGATGCATTTCATATCACAAACAGCTACGTTTCAATCCTAATTGCTCATTTAAATTCTGTAGAAAATCAGAACATTGCAAAACAGTTTGCAAATAAAGAAGCATTTCTATTCTATGTGTTAAAGAGAATTGAAATCATCACTTGAATCTGGCACAAAGAATGATGCAAAAACTGAAGTTTTGGGAAGAAATGGCCAATCACCTGAGCAAATTATTTAGTCACATGATTTGCTGAGGCACATGACTGTTTTGATCTATGAATTTATGCGTTTCCAAAGTAGTTTACATAAATCTTCTTACAGAATACAAAATTTAACAAGCGCAAGTTTTCATGTGCAAAACTGTATTGTTTCCATATAATATTTTATGCTATATTCCAAAATAAATAGATGAAAACCTGGGGCAAGTTCAAGCTCAAACCGGTGTGCACCGTTTTGCTACGGTTTCCGGTTTGAACGACATGTTTCCTGGAAACGGTGTGCAACGGGGTTTGAGATGCGTTTTCTCTTGTTTGGTGGGTGTGTCAAACATGTCGGCCCAATCAGCAGCAACATGTATGTAAACCACGCGGTATTAAAGAGACAACTGGCACAATGTAATTAACATGCAAATAAATTCACAAGGGCAAGAATATTGTTTGCACATGTTTCTTTACATTAAAGGAAAAATAACTGAAATAAGAGCACAAGTATAGATCTGGAACTTTCTTAAGTCTGTTTAAATATCATTTAGTAATTGCAATGTCTTCTGGTCCATATCCTTTCCTTAGGAAGGAGTGCTAAATACTGATTAATGTAGCATAAAAATACTATACATATTCATATATTTCGCTATTGTATTATGGAGTGACACTTTCATAAAATTTTCTATACTGCTCTGATTATATAATGGTAAATATTACAATATCATAGCACAACAACAGTGATCAGCAATAATGATAAGCCTAATACTCACAATAAAAATAATAAGGTCATATAGATCATAACACAGTCTCGGAGGTAAGAAGTGGATTATCCTTCACCTGAAATGTTTGTCTTTTCATCCTGAAATGCGAGGCAAATGTTGGATCACAATAATTAGGAACCACAGTTTCCACAAATCCCATCCCATTTGATTGGGATGTTCTCTTTTATTCTGGAGGGCAAGGGCAATGACTGTAACATCGAGCGTATTTTGCAGTATTAAACACGTATTTATACCGATTTCATCAGGCTCAGAAAATTCTTCAAAAAGAACACAAAGAATGGCCTTCTCAGCTGCCATAGTTGCAACTCTTGCGTCATCAGAACAGGGTGTTCAACGCACCACCGTTTCCGTTTAAAAAACGTTTTGCACCGTTTTTGTCGGGGCTGAACGCAGCCCTGGTTATTGATGTCAAACCCTGCGTATTGCATTTTAAGGTGACAAGTTCGAATGTGGATACTAGGCTTATTATTGTTAACTAAACTAAAACTAAAAGCATACGAAACATGTTCATTACTAAAATAAAATAAACATTAAATGAATTAAAATAAAATATAAATAATCGTAAACGTAATTTAAGCTAAAGTTGCCAAGTAATTTTTTTCCCATTTTCGTTTAAAGTTGAAGTACTAAAATGACTAAAACAAAAACTAATATAAATACACGTAAAAAAAATTACTGAAAGTTTAAAATGAAAATGAAAACCGAAAATATAAAAATAAAATCTAATTACAAAATTAAAAAGAAAATTACAAAAACTATAATAATATATCAATAATATTAGTTCCAATGTGAACATTGACTTAAAACTTTCTCTATCAAAGCTGTTGTATGGCATCAGAAGAGTTGCAATATAGTGAACCAGTTGCATGACTAGCAGTGTTGGGAGTAACGCATTACAAAAGTAATAATATTACAGTAGTATATATTTTGTACTTGCTAGTTTTATTGTACATTTCTACTAATGAATTTACTACAGACTTGCTTTCCGCTCCCTGATATCTTTATATAGATTATATATATTACATGTAATATCTATAGATCAGGGTTACCGCAGTGTCAAATCAACACACCAATTCCAACAGCACAACTAGCGCAACACTTTGCTGTAGGATATACAGGTTGTTTCCCACCATTAATGAGAGTGTTTGCGCTGGTTCACCCTGCAGGCTCTGTCTGTCTGTGAAGCACATGATATCCTGTTATGAAAAGACCTTTTTATTCTGTATAATACCTGGGGAGCAACATAAAAATACAGCTCTGGAGAAAAATTAAGAGACCATTGCAAAATGATCAGTTTCTGTGGTTTTACTATTTTTATTATAGGTATGTGTTTGAGTAAAATGAACATTTTTGTATTATTCTATAAACTATTGACAACGTTTCTCCCAAATTCCAAATAAAATTTGTCATTTAGTGCATTTATTTGCAGAAAATGACAGCAGGTCAAAATAACAAAAAAGAAAAGATGCTGTCAGACCTCAAATAAGGCAAAGAAAACAACTTCATATTCATATTAATTCGGCTTTGTTTGATGGCTTGTGACCATCCATCTTCCTCCAGATCACATTCCAGAGGTTTTCAGTGGGGTTCAGGTCTTGAGATTGGGCTGGCCATGACAGGGTCTTGATCTGGTGGTCCTCCATCCACACCTTGATTGTCCTGCTGGAAAAACCAATCCTCAAGATGAAGGAAGCAAGTTTCCTTCCAGGACAACCTTTTACGTGGATTGATTCATTTACCCTTCACAAAGATGAATGTGACCCATTCCAGCCTTGCTGAAGCACCCCCAGATCATCACCGATCCTCCACCAAATTTCACAGTGGGTGCGAGACACTGTGGCTTGTAGGCCTCTCCAGGTCTCCATCAAACCATTAGACGACCAGGTGTTGGGCAAAGCTGAAAACTGGACTCATCAGAAACGGTTAAATCCTTATGGCCTCAGATTCCAGATGAACATGTATAATCGATAAAGTTGTTAAACGCAGTGAAACGTCCCAGTTGGAGCGCTGCTTGTCCTATTAGATCAAGTCTTACTATGTAAATATACTCACTGCACTGAAAAATGTTCACCAAATCCTTTCCCAATAAACAGTACATCATGGAATATTGTTCTTGTTGTTGTTTTTCCTGATATAACAACAATTCATTGCATTTCAATGCTGTCTGATTTATTTAGATTGGATTTCAGCCACAGATGAAGTGACCAGAGGTTGATACTGTGTTTGTGTTCAGGTGAGGTGAGGTGACATGTGGCCAAGTATGGTGACCCATACTTGGAATTAGTGCTCTGCATTTACCCATCCAAAGTGCACACACACAGCAGTGAACACACAGCAGTGGGCAGCCATTTTTGCTGCCGCACCCGGGGAGCAGTTGGGGGTTCGGTGCCTTGCTCAAGGGCACCTCAGTCGTGGTATTGAAGGTGGGAGAGAGCGCTGTACATTCACTCCCCCCACCTACAATCCTTGCCGGTACGAGACTCGAACCCGCAACCTTTGGGTTACGAGTCCGACTCTCTAACCATTAGGCCACGACTTCCACCAACTTCAGTGGAATTGTGTGAAGTTTACAAGACAGACTTCTATTAGAATTCCTCAAAACAGAGCTTACAGAGACAACAGCTTGAATTTAGACACTTTTTGACAGCAAGAAGAAAGTATAAAGAGTTTAAGCGCAAAGCTTATGAGTGACAATATATATGTTCTAGGTCTATTGAAAGAAGTTAAATGAACAAAGCTGATATTAATCAGCAATATCACAAAATATTAAACATTACCGATGTTGTGCTGTTTTCATGCCAAAAATGATGTCACTTCCTGTAGAAAAAAATAAACAGTTTTTGTTGGATTGTACAGAAAACTTACAGGATGGAAAGTAATAGAACCTCCTAAATTGGGTTACAAAAACTTTTTTTCTTCATTAATGACAAATAACATTATTTATTTGGTTTGTTTTGAAGCATTTAAGTGTTTGCACACGGTCCAGGCTCATTACATTTTACCGTGTGAACAAATGCAGATAGTGTACATGAAAATATTCCTCTGGGGAAAATAAGCTATAAACAAATATTATTTAGAAGTATTTTTGGCTAATGCTGGTGATACAGGTGTAAGAAAATCTGTTTCATTATAACATACTGCAAGCAAACCAGCTTTTGATGCTTGTTTTTATTATTATTTTATATTTTTATTATCATTTTTATTATTATTATTATTTACATTATAATTTTTTCTTAATTTAAATAGAAAATTGGGTCCATGCGCTCATGCACTGACCACTGCACCACAGATCCGACCTACACTCTTAAAAATAAAGGTGCTTCACAATGCCATAGAAGAACCTTTTTGTTGGATTTCAGACATGTTCTCATGTCTAGAAAGTACTTCACATCCAAAACCTAGCAGCAGGTTCAAAATAAAATCGAAATCAAGATCTAAAGCTTATAAAAGAAAGAGGTGGGCAAACTTTGCTTTGTCCTGGTTTTATTTAGGTCTCAATCTTCTTGTGTGACCTAAATAAAGCAGGAATATGAGATATATAACGGCCTCACCAGTCGATTCTCTCTTAGCATGTGGTTAATAAATTGCAAAAACCTT